TGTCTGGAACATTTTATCAGCAGCCATTCCGAGCTTATCAATACATGTTTCGAGTGAAAAAAAATATATAAAAAGCCACATACTTAGCATGCACTTCTCGGGTACAACAACCCCCTAATCCTGCACAATGATCAGCAACATGTTTATAAATTTCAAACTACCCACCCCTGTCTGGAACATTTTATCAGCAGCCATTCCGAGCTTATCAATACATGTTTCGAGTGAAAAAAAATATATAAAAAGCCACATACTTAGCATGCACTTCTCGGGTACAACAACCCCCTAATCCTGCACAATGATCAGCAACATGTTTATAAATTACAAACTACCCACCCCTGTCTGGAACATTTTATCAGCAGCCATTCCAAGCTTATCAATACATGTTTCGCGTGAAAAAAAAAAATATAAAAAGCCACGTAGAGGAGGGTGAGAACATACTTAGCATGCACTCCTCGGGTACGACTTCTCGACCCCATCTTGTCGAGCGAGCAGACGTCGTTCCGGATGGCAGATACCGTCATGGCGGATTCTGGGTGGTTCTAGGGGGGTTCGAAGGGGGTTCAGGGGATGAAAGGGGATGAAAGGGGTCGTTTAAACCTATACTCGTATACGGGGTGGCAAATGGGCTGTGGGGCGCGACGTGTAAGCCCGGCTTCTGGGTAATCGTCCGTGTTATTGTCTTCCCGAGGAATAGAAGCGTTAAGAACCCGAAATAGCTCTTCCATTGGCTCCAAAGAGAATTTACTGCAAATTACGGTGCATCCTTTCTCGCGACGAAAAACCGAGCCGCGCGCCAAGACACACCGGAGGCTCCTGGCTTCCGGTTCCGGTTCCGGTCCTCCCGGGAATTTTCATTACGACCGAACTCTCATTACGAAATTCCTCGGCGATGCCGATTTCATCAACGTAAATCGAGCTGCCCCGAGGATTGCGCCCTGGAAAACCTTCGGACTTTTTCCGCCACCCCCAGGATTTCACCTTTCCCTCAAACGACTAAATTCTGAATGAATTTTTATAACAGTAATTAGAATAATAATTACTGACCAAGTGCTAAGTTTATTCATGGAGACTTAACAGCGGATGATATTAAAATATTGAAATTTTCAAACGACTAAATTCTGAATGAATTTTTTGGAACAGTAATTAGAGCAATAATAATTGACTAAGTGCTGAGTTTATTCATGGAAACTTAACAGCAAATAATAGTCAAATCGAGAGCAATGATGGCACAAATACGGCAACATTCTAAAGGAGAACTCTGCTTAAGGGACTTCAGCCTAATTATTAAATTCGTAAGAGTTTCATAAACTTAATGTCTTTTACGTCGCCTTCGCATCGCCTTAATGGTATCTTTTTTTGGTCATAAGAACATTATAATGACTTTTCAACCGTGCGCATGCGCCACTTTCATCGGAACTCTAACCTCAAATTGTGAGTTGCCGATTATTTTCTAGCGATAACCCGTCATACGAGGATAACGCTTTCGCCAGCTGATACGGTGGTTCTAGTAATGCGTATCGGTGTTAATGGATGCTTATCACTCACCGCATTGCACAATCTACCGATCGGATTCATTATCGATAATTCGGTACTCCAATCACGCTAGTAGCACTGCCCGAACTACGACCGAAGCGCTTCCTATCGGGATAATATAGGAGATAATAGGACGATAAGATTAACCACCCCATCTGTATCAGCAAACCGGGAACAAATACCTCCAACAATGAAATAACCAGGACAAAAAACCCCGATTTGTTAATTTTTAACATAATTCGTTCAGTGACTTACGGCTTCGAGAAATAAAATAAACCCTTTCCTTTACTCGAGGAATTGCCAGGAATTAAATCGACGTCGACAAAATAAAATAAACACTTTACTTGAGGAATTGCTAGGAATTAAATCGACGTCGATAAAATAAAATAAGCCCTTTCCTTTACTCGAGGAATTGCCAGGAATTAAATCGACGTCGGCAAAATAAAATAAACACTTTCCTTTACTCGAGGAATTGCCAGGAATTAAATCGACGTCGACAAAATAAAATAAACACTTTCCTTTACTCGAGGAATTGCCAGGAATTAAATTGACGTCGATAAAATAAAATAAACCCTTTCCTTTACTTGAGGAATTGCCAGGAATTAAATCGACGTCGATAAAATAAAATAAACCCTTTCCTTTACTCGAGGAATTGCCAGGAATTAAATCGACGTCGACAAAATAATATAAACCTTATTATCCTAAATTCCATGAAATTATTTCTTGCACGTTTATATTCCAGGAATCGGACGGGCTTTTGAGGTTAACAGATTTTCTTGCACCTTGTGGTTAAACCGGAGACTGTAGAACTCGACAAGGTGCTATTAAACGAGCTGCCATAACCTTAATCTGATGGTGGTCACGCACGTGCTCGCATTTAATCGCCGGTTGTCATTACACAATGGTTCATGGACGTATTAACCCTTTCAAACTTATCCTAATTTCTCTGACGTCACTGATAACATCGATACCTCTTTAACAAATCTATAGAAAATTTACATTCCTTCATAAATCCAGATTTAACTCTCCAAAGTTGATCGCAAGAGTTTAACCATTTATCTATTAATATTTTATATATATATAAATGTTTGTTTTATGAATTTTATAATAACGTAAAATTAACTTTTGTTTAACCGACATTTATATACGGTAAAAAATGGAAATCCATCCCGAATGGTAGGGAGGTATCCTCGAGGAAGATTAATATAAAATTGTTTAGCCTCCGAGATGTTCTTGTTTGTCTTGTTCTCTGCATACTCCTACAAATCAGAATCTCTGAATATGTATTTATGTATATTTTGCAATCGCTTCCGCGTTTGCAGAACATTGGAATCTAGGTTAAGCGTAACATCGCTCGGTCGGATAATATCCGTGATAATTAAAAACAGATGCTTCGGTGTAGATTATCCGTAGATCATTAATAATAGATCAATTACTCTTCAGAAGAACCACCCCCTAGAACGAAAATCCGCAAACGTAAATTCCGCCCGCGTTATTTCTCCGTCATTACAATTAAAATTCAATCTAATCCCATGAAACGTTTTTTCTATTTTTTCATTGCAATTCATTTTTTTTTAGGTAAAACTAAATTACTGTTTCATAACGAAACGGAAACATTTACATTTACACGGGTTTACAATAACATAATAGCTTGAATTAACAATTTCATATAAAGAAATCTTTAATTTTATAGCATAAAAATTGTTAGGATAGGTTAGTGACGATTCACCGAAGGAGCAAATCTAGTCCCACCAATTTTTAGGAACTACGTTTAGTTTCGCCTTAAATCAGAATTTCATTTGGTTAACATTAATATAATAGCGTGAATAAAGAATGCCATATAAACCAATCTGTAATTTTTCAGCATCAAAATTGTTAGGATAGGTTAGTGACGATTCACCGAAGGAGCAAATCTAGTCCCACCAATTTTTGGGAACTACGTTTAGTTTCGCCTTATTTCATGATTTCCATCTGGTTTACATGAACATAATAGCTTGAATAAAAAATTCCATATAAACCAATCTTCAATTTTTTATCATAAAAATTGTTAGATTAAATTAGTGACGATTCACCAAAGAAGAAAATCCATAACCGAAGGAGGAAATCTAGTGACACCAGGATTTCGCGCAACCGCCCTAAGTCAGGATTTCCCCCTAGATTCAGTTTAACAGAGTTCGCCCGTGTTCCTCAGTAAACCCGAGCTTTCCGGAAAATCTATATAGGGGTATTCGCCATCATTTCCGCGCTCACGGAACATCAGAATCTGGACCGAGCATCGACTGGATGAGATAATTCCCACATCGTTCTGTGCCGGACGACCCGGAGGCGTCCGCCACTTCAAAGCAGTTCGGTTTCTCCGCGTTTCTATCGAGCGAAACTCCTCTGGCAGTTTAATGAAGTGCCCTTCGGCGTGTCTGCTCGTTCTCTGAACTCGTCCATCCAGGTTTCTACCCCAAAACGATCCCATAAATCGTCATGGAACTCGCTCGTCCGTTTCATCTTCTACCCCGAGCCGATCAGAAAGGCCATCAAGAAACTCGGTAGAGTCTCTCGACAAATACATTTTTCAGCGAGAAACTCGTAGTTCATCTTAACAAATCTTGCTACACTGAGAAAAAGAAAACTACTTTACTGTAAAAAGTATATATTGCAGCCTGAATTATATATCATCGCAAGAAACAATTGTTTCGTTGAAAAGAAGCCATCAAGAAACTCGGTTGAGTTTCTCGACAAGTACATTTTTGAGCGAGAAACTCGTAGTGAACACTGTTATGTAACTGTTGGGTAAATGTTACGTTTTAAAAGTTTAAAAAACGAATAAAAGTAACATGGGAGTTAGATATTAGTTATTACTTCCCACTCAGTTTCTTTTCCACTCACTTTCATCCCCATTTTTTAATATTCACTTTTTTTAACATTTTCATCCTACAATATGATACCCGAAGAACTTTTACGTAAAAAAGATACTCTTGCTCCATATTGATAGGGTTAATAGTTTTCGCTAAAATTGCAAATTTCTTCGATGCACATTTACCTCCTCGAGCCCAGGATTCCCCATTTGAAGGATCCTCATGAAGCATGTTTCTACAAATGTTTACATGACCTTATCTTCACAAAAATACCTCAGGAATCACCCCTTGACTTTTTGCCGCATCTTATTAAACCCTGTACAATACCTATCCAACCCTGGAACAGTCTCAGTGGAAGAGGTCAAGAGCAGGATCGACCAAGGGGGCCTAAAAGAGACAAGCGCGCCAAATGCTTCCCGCATCAACCGACAGGTGGCGCCACCGAGAACCGCAGTGCCGCCAACGGCACAGCTGATCGGATGGTTCCCCTTTCACGGCCAAGGTTCAGGGATAAATTGAAAGGACATCATCGCCCCACCGACCTAACCTAACGTTCCACGGCATAGAGGAACAATTAGGCTAAGACCCGCAGCCTTTCCCGAGATATTTGCCCCTCACCTGAACCATTGATGTGTGCCGACACGACAGACAGAACTCCCCGGCTCTGGCCCTGGTGAAACTAGAGCCTCCCAACTCCCTCTCGCCGTACTCGCCGTACATTCGCCAGACCGTGAACCCACGCACGATACGCAGAGAGAGTCACGCGAGTAAAGCAGCTTCCCGCTATCCGAAAACTAGGGGGACGCGTGTTTTGTTTACACGCCTGCTGAAAATGCGCAGGGCGCCCGCGCCGATGGCGGCGACGCTGCCGCCATCGCAGGATGCGCGCGCACCCGTAGGATCGATTTTCACCGCATCCCCCGGCGCCCCTGGTGGACGAGGAGGGAACCTCACCCCTCCACGCGGCATTTTTGAATACTTCCAGGCACACTCCACTTTACAGAACTTATATATAATAGAAATTGTTCTAACTGGATTATATCCAATATGGCGACGCTTGGATGTACCGTGATCATGTAAGAATTTTTTTATACACGTTTAAGCCCTTCTTGCGAACTCTCAGATGTAAAGATTGTATAAATCTTGGATGTTGGGTTATGCGCGTCATTTTTGTGGATGCCTATTTTAGATATCCACATCGATGTGGGGATTTTCAGAGGGAAAATTCAGTCTTTCGAGGACAGTCCACGGAGGTCGAAAATCCTAAATCATCCCTGAATCCTATCAGAGGTGGAGTGATATTTTCATAGATGTTGGAATAGGGGGATGTCATGGGAATATTCGTGCAGATGACAGTTCCGGAGGCGTAAGGGTTGTTTCGCACCATCCTGGATGTATCTCCCCCAGAACTGCGACGTCGCAAACGGGGTGGGACAACCTTCGATGAATAATTTATCCCGATGGGATTAAGTTTAAATATTTCATCCCTAAACTAATCTCCAGGGGTGCTTGCCAATTTATTTAGGGAAACATCGTCCGGTCGGCCGACCGTCCCCACGAACTGGGAATAATTTAAAAATGGAGGAAACGAGAAGATGGACACGTGAGGAATACTTTGCAGGCTCCTATCCTAATATAAGCAACGATATTAATGCTGTGCTTCACTCCCAAGTACCATTCCTGGTTTTCCTGTACGAGCCGGACTCCGGCATCGTCTCCAGGAACTCCTGCCCCCTGGACGTCTTCCGGTTACTCGGGAATCCTTTCACCGGGTAAGACCATCTTGGCAAACTGCTTCGAGGGGTTTTTTTTCCATCAGCAGTGGACATCCCGACTCGGGAGCCAGTTCACTTAAGGTCTACCCGAAGTATAGATCATGTCCAGATTTGCCAAGAGAAATGTTCACTCATACATACCCAAACAATGTAATTGAAAGTAAATGCCTACCCCATGCTGAAAACACATCCGATAGATCCCCCCCGAATTTTTAAAAAATCCACTTTTCCATATTTGCAACTCAAAGGGATATTTTAATCCTCCTAGATACTCAATTGGAGTTGGGATTAATCCAACATCCGACACCAACTGTTCATGGATGTCGCATCAACATAGAAGACATAGAAACCTTTCTCTTAATCGTGTCCACTGAATTGCTTCAAACTTTACAAGGCAAACGTGGAGACTATAAGGAAGGTCCCGACACTCGTGAAATTTCATTATTTATAAGAATTTTTATATTAACCTGGCCGTTAGATCTTATACTGCCTCCTGGGTGAAGGACCGAAGTGCTGTATGCACTTTGTAGCGACAAAGTGATCGAAAAACGAGGAAGTAACCCCATGGACCTTCCCTTTACTGACCCAACATCTGAACACCCGAAGCACCTCGAGGTGTCCAGCACTCCACCAGGTGATGGCCCATGGAAAATAAAACCCTAGGGAATTTTCCGTTCGATGGATCCTTTAAACGCGCGGAAATCCACTCTAGGGACGTTGCAGCGAGCGAGGCTCTAGGGAAGTGGCCCTAAGTTGCAATGCTCCTAGACTTCGGCTTCAAAGGAGTGGTATACAGTATTCATGTGGAAGGAGTTATCTACAATACCCTCGACCATGAAGCCCATATACTAGTCTAGATATCCAGATACATAAATGCTTATATATTGTACCACGGGGCATCGGAAATGACCGAACACCAACAAATCCCCCAGACACCACACAACGACTAAAAGATGACGAACTTTCGTAATTAATACAGTCGACAAAAAAATCAGCAAAAAATTGTTCTCTTCAACCAGACCATCTTATCATTTCCTCAGAGTGCCGATAACACGTTCCACACAACACATTACGTGGGCAAAGTACTTATCATAGGTGGACGATCAATTTACAGGCAACACATTGCGTACAATTAAGTGGGCAAAGTACTTATCAAAGGTNGCAGGACGCGGTGATACCAAAAAAATCGTCCTTTTCAACCAGACCATCTTATCATTTCCCAAAAGTGCCGATAACACGTTCCAGGCAACACGTTGCCTGCCGTCCGCGGCTCGCATCGTTAAAGAATTCACGAGTGGGAATTATTCAGAGTGGCCGGGCACAACTTACAATTAGGTGGACAGAGTACGTATCAAAGGTGGACGAGAGCACCTCCTCGTTTGCTTTGACCCAGGTGCTAATTAGTCGTGAGGGTAATGTAGAGGACGGAAAGAAAGGAGGGAAGGCAACGGACGCTCGGCGCGGCAAAGAAGGGCCGTCGCAGAGGAGAACGCCGAAGAGCCGAGAAGAGACCAGGATGGGTCCAGGATCGTGGCTGGAGGGCAGGAGAGCAAGGCGGGCACTACCCGGACATAAATCCAATTATACGCACAAAGCGACTGGCCCAGGCCACAGCGACCACGACCATAGGCGGGAATTGGGGGTACGTGCTACCCCGTCCAGATAACCCTATTCCGTGTCAGGAGAGTGGTCCATGTGACTGGCTGCCTCCTGGATGTTGTGGACGCTCCAACGCCAGTTCCCGGAGTGGATTTCCGCGTGCTTGAAGAATTCCCCGGGTGCAGAACACCCAAGAGTCCACCTTTTTCAGGGTCGCCACCGTTGGAAGAGACGTCTTTGGATGGGACCCAGAATAACAAACGGTTAAGCAGCAACCAACGAGTTCTTTTCATTTCTGCTCCCCTTCCGTCACTTCGGCAAAATCCGACCATGTCAATGGTTCCTGCTCGCCGTTTCCAATCAACTAAAACCGATTAAAACCGTCCAAAACTGTCTAAAACCGTCCAGAACTGTCTAAAACTGTTTAGAACCGTCTGACATCGCCTAAAAGCGCATAGAAGCGTGTATCTCCTCTGAAAAAAATCCCAGCCACTCGCTCGAGAGGTCAATTTGAAGAGAACAACCTTCCCCGTCGAGCTGATATGGTCGCGGGTCCGAAAAAAATTCACCGGGGGCTGGACAGCCCGAGAACCGGCAGAAAAAGTCATGGACCCCTCACAAAAGCTTCAAACCCTGTATCTCCTCTGAAAAAAATCGCAACCACTCGGTCGAGAGGTCAATTTGAAGAGAACAACCTTCCCCGTCGAGGTGCTGTGGTCGCAGGTCCGAAAAAAATTCACTAGGGGCTGGACAGCCCGAGAACCGGCAGAAAAAGTCATGGACCCCTCGCAAAAACTTCAAACCCTGTATCTCCTCTGAAAAAAATCCCAGCCACTCGCTCGAAAGTTCAATTTGAAGAGAACAACCTTCCCCGTCAAGGTGCTATGGTCGCGGGTGCGAAAAAAATTCCCAACCACTCGGTGGAGAGGTGAATTTGAAGAGAACAACCTTCCCCGTCTAGGTACCGTGGTGCACACCATCAACGAACGATGACTCGGTGATGCGTGGTCCCACAGGAAGGCACCTCCCAGGAATCTTGAAATCGCGGTGAAAATCGGGTTCGCTTTGATCGTCTCCCGGGTCTCGGAGACTCCGGTGGCCCCGTAAACGAGGTCCTGGCTCTTCCCGCAAATCGAGAAGATGGAAGCCCCAGGGAAAGGGGAGCACCGGTACCTCTGTGCGCCCGCGAAAGAAAACGCGTTCCCCTTTTGCGACTCGTCCTTTTGCTCGGCTCAGCCTTGCCTGGAGAATTTAATATTTGCTTCGTTCACCTCCTGGAGGGGACCCTCCTCGTCCCCGCTGTACTCGTAGCGCATACGGAAAATCCTAGATAGCTATTCTTATTGCCAGTCCATTCCCGGATATGCCCTCTGAGAGGAACGGGAACAACGAGACTTATACGACCTGGGGTCTGGGGAGACCAAAGGATCTTTGGGAATATTTCGACCGGGACTATGGAATATAGTCCTACCCTAGGTTACGAAAGGCCCGTTCGGGTTATCTGCACTTTCTGCACTTTCTACAATTTCAGAAAAGATATACACACCAGGGTTGGATAGGTATAACACGTCCACGAAGTTGTATAAGGAGACACAGCGCCATGTATCGAAATCTTCCCCATTTTAGGGGCCCAAGATCTTTAGATTCTTTCCGATCTAGTGCCGAGAGCACCTACTCGATGAAACTTTTGCGACTAATAATTGTACTATGCTATTTTGTATGTCTTTGTCGCGTTAAAAACATCACATTCTGTATATCATGGATTATCGTTTCGCTTTGCGTCCCTTAATTGCAAAATTAAAAGCATTTCGAGTCATTTATGTCGGTGGGAAACGCGTCTTGCTTACGTCATAATAGGGTTCCCTTATTATCCGCAAATGGCGCTCGCGTCGTTAGATTAACAAAAATCTGAGATCCTGGGGCCACTTTCTGTGGAACTGGTAATTAACGTCGTGTCTTTTTATTCCGTTTCATGGTTTCGACGAAGGTCTACAGGTACCAAGCTTTTTCCCCAGGACCGACATTGTCAGAAGTCCTGAACGAGGGCTGCTCGAAGGGGATGACTCCACCCGGAATTCCGAACGCGTAGCTAACCCGAATTCCAAGGAAAGCCTGGAATCCTACGGGAAGCTGTTAGAGGGTGGTTTTCCTCCAACAGAAGAGCTTACCCGGATTTTTATCGTTCATCTTCCCGGGATCCCTCTATCTGCGAGTTTCGAGGACTTCCCCTCATTGCTGCATTCCGCTTAAAAAATAAACTCAGATCAAATATCCGAGCCGAAATCCATCTGCAACGAGCAGTTGTTCGACATTAATTTTAAAAAGCTAAAATTATTGTTATATTATTATAAAATGTGAAGAAATAAATATACAGATTTTATGATTTTAACGTTTAATATGAAAGTACTATACCGTACTTGGCAAGAATAGTTGACTTCCGGTGGAGAGAACACGATTTGTACTATTTTTCCGTAATTGTAAGTCGCAACAATGTACTCGGCGAAGTTTTTTTCACACCTAAGGTGTTTTTCGAAGATATATAGGACGCAAAGCCGTTTCAAATTCCGCGCGCTTTCGCCGACAGCCAATCAGAGCGCGGTCCTGGTTCGTGAAATTCCCCGCGCCGCCTCGCCCATTTATGGACCAAATTCTCCTCTTTAAAGCGTCCCCAAGCATCTCCCTCGCCTCCATAATCTTCCTTATCTGTGATGTCCTCCATTAAAGTACAATAAACTTAGAAACAATTGAATTTACAGGGTGGAAATCCGTATTTCAAGTTGGCCCAATTCGAGTAGTGACGTGTCTGCTGAGCACGTTGACGGAGGGACGGGCGCATGCGCAATGCCACCTTACGTGGCATCGGCACCAGTCGCCCGCGCAGAGCGTAATAAATGTTCTTTATTTTACTGTAAACATTTGTGCAAACTACGTCCTTTGTTATGCTCCAAGCGATCCTAACGACTCTATGTAAGTATAGAAATAACGGGGCGTTAAGCGGAGCCTCGATCGGGCCCGAAACGGCCGTTACGAGGAACTTAGTGACATGCAAAATGGCTCGCACCTCTTACCACGAGAAACGTGACATTATACTCCTCTCCTGCTTTGTAGATCCCTCTCGCTGAGATTCGAAGATCGATCGACTCCTTTATTTCCACCAATTCCCGGACACCCCATAAGACGGCTGGAACGCACGATTTTAGGTTATACTCCCTCTGTGAAGGTGCAACCTTTTGGATTACGTGCTCCCTCGGACAGGATGTTACCATTTTCCTTACTCCGTATTTTTAGTTATTCATTTTTGCATTTACAATCGCCTCTTTTGGTTTACTTATAGGGCTCCGGTACAGTGGTGCGAGGTCTATGTACGTTATCGAGCGAGTCTCTACTCTTTATTTTGAGTAAAAAATCATACCGCGGTATTGGGCATCTCCGATTGTTTTTAGTTGCTTGGTCATCTTATCGGAACGTTTGAAACATCAGCGTTTGATTGGCTACTGTCACCTGTGGCGTCCATATGGTACACGTGTCATCCTCCAGTTTCGTCGCACCTTTCACAGCGCTTCGCGTGATATTAATTCAATTCGATTGTTAAATTGTGTATTCAGGAGATTTTGACGTTAAATACAATTTTGTCCCCTTCTCGAAAAAAGTATGACATCACACGACTGATTGCCTGTACTCGTTTGACTACTTTCACCCAAAGTTAATGATCACGTTGATCCGTAATATTCTGACATGTACCAAAGATTTATGGAGTTTAGGCTATAATATTTTGTTACTTTGTTAATGCTCTTTGAATCAGTGTTAATATATAATAATAAATAGGCTTAGATTTTTATTTCTCTTTCAGTTTCAAATTTTCAAATCCTCACCGACTGCATAATTCCAGTGCTGCGTTTAAATCACCCAAAGTTGACGCTTAAATTACTATATCCCGTTTCATAATTAATTGTTCTGCCACTCTACTGAAAATCTTGTTCTTTGTTGATTTTAGAATTAACCATGAATCCTCAGTACATGCAGCATCATCAGCAACAACAACCGCAACCTCCATATTATGGAGGACCTCCGACAGGACCACCATACCCTGGGCCAAACTCTAATGCTCCGCCAAATCAATATAACGGCCCTGGGAATTCACAAGCATATCCGCCACAAAAAATGATTCAAGAGCCAGTTTCGTCCAACAGTGCACCGCCACACACACAGGCACCTTATTACGTCAGTCACTTACAAGGTATGAACGATAAGTATTATTTAAAAAGTTTAAAACATAGTATGCGGACCATGAAATAACATAAAAAGCTCCTACCATCAGAAGAAGAATAAGGATAATAAAATTTTTAAATGTTAATTCTCAGGACAGCAAATAAATGCTCAGCAAGGTCCTCCGCTCGGTGGATCGATGCATATTGGTGCACCACCAACGAGTCAAAGTAACCTGATGAATCAAATGACGAATATGACTCTAGGGAATCAGCAAAGACCTCCGATAGATGTGTGACTTCTCTTTAATTTACACTAATCTCTGAACATAAGTAGTAGTTAACGGATGGTCTAATGTCAATATCTTTTTCTCTATCGAACAGTCAGGAAATTTACACCCAGCTGCCAAAAGTAATGCATTGTCACCAACTCCTCCTTCAAACGTTAATGGCTTCAGTCCATCGGATCACATGCCTCCATCGACAGGTATTTTTTTTTATACATAGGAGAGCGAAAGAAGAAATTCTATTACGAAACCGAATGTTCATTACGACTCTACGATAAGGATGAACAAATGAAGAGGAAGTACAGTGAACTTTTTCTTAGAAGCTGCTGGTCAGAAAGAAACGAATGGTCGACCTCCTCCTCCACAAGGCAGATCGCAAGGATCCCCTGCACCTAGAGCAGGACTTCACTCCGGCCACCCTGGACAGCACAATCAACAGGGACCTCCTCTGCCTGGAACGGGTCAAGGACCATATTCTGGACATCCTGGTCCAGGACAACACGTCCATCCTGATCATCCCCCGGAACAAATGGGGTTGCCTAGCGCACCATTGCCACCAATGATGCAGAAAAGTATGACCGGTCCATCGCAAGGACAACAAAATTTATCTGGACCTCCGCTACCTGGACAACATTTTGCTGGTTCTTCGATGTCAGGGCAACATCTTCCTGGGCCTCCGTTACCAGGACAGAATTTATCTGGCCCACCGTTACCAGGACAGAATTTATCTGGTCCACCGTTACCAGGACAGAATTTATCTGGTCCACCAGGACAGAATTTATCTGGACCACAAGGACCGCAGAACATGTCTGGTCCACCAGGACCTCAGAACATGTCCGGGCCTCCATTGCCAGGACAGAATTTAGGTGGAGTTCAGTTTTCAGGCCAGTCCAATATTTCTGGACCTCATGTATCCGGACGCACCCTGCCCGGACAACAGAGTTTGTCTAGACCTCCTTTACCAGGACAGCAGAACATGGCTGGACAACATGGTCAGCCCTTTCCATCCGGACCACCAGTACCTGGACATCCGCATTTATCTCCGATGAGTCCATCGTTACCTGGTGCTCAAATGCAAGGACAAAAGCAGTACATGTCCGGGCCCACTTTAATGAATCAACCGACGAGCACGTCGATGGGAATGAACCGTCAATCCCCAGGAGCCGTTCCTGGATATCAACAGGGAGGCTACCAACAGCAAAATTATGCACCCCAACCGGTATATTTTCACGTTTTATGAAATTCACATGAAATCAATAGACATTTCATGAACACATACACATATGTGTACGTAAATGAATTTTTCATATCGATGGAAATGAAAAGTTTATATACAAAATACGAGTACAGAGATGTACAAGTATTTCCAATGACTAATATTACTTTACGTAGGATGTGTACGGAGCTCAACGGAGTCCTTACCAAGGAGGCGTACCTGGTGCACCAGGGTATCAATCAACCATGCAATCGCAACAAGCCAAGAGATTAGATCCTGAACAAATGCCAAGTCCTGTGAGTCTAAAATCTATAAAATATATCCCGTTCATAAAATAATTAAAAAGTAACCCTCGACAATTTATGCTCTTTACTATTTCTTTAATGTACTGTCTTAGTCATTCCTGGGTTATTTATTAATACGATTGGATTATTATTCGCAGATCCAAGTGATGCAGGACGATCAACGTACAAAAGGAGATGTGTTCGTAACAAATCAAAAGGGATTGGTCCCACCATTAGTGACGACAAAGTTTGTGACGGAAGACAGAGGAAATGCATCCCCACGATACCTTAGGTCCACCATGTATACAGTACCTACTTCAGCAGATATTATAAAACAGGTAATTCTTTATCTTTCCTTCCAAGAGCAAAGACAATCGAGAAGATAATAATCCAATTCAATCTTCCTTCGTAACACCTTAACACTGGAGCCATCGCAGAGCATTGGCATCGTAACAACTAGAGCATGCATCGTTGACAGGAATTTATACATCGAGTCCTTATTTTATTTTATAGACAAGTGTTCCCTGTGGTCTCGTGATAAGTCCAATGGCCCGAATAGAACCAGGAGAGATGGAACCGCCCATCGTTGATATGGGCGACATCGGACCAGTTCGTTGCATACGTTGTAAAGCATACATGAGCCCTTTCATGCAATTTATCGACGCCGGTCGACGATTCCAGTGCTTACTTTGCAAAGCAACGACGGAAGGTAAATAAACGACTGCATTAAACAATGTAGCTAATTTAAATCCTTCCTTGTCACCGACAGAAATATGTTGACCGATGTGGAAACTTTCATGACGATCAAACTTATATCATTAAATGACTTGTTCAGCATGTTACGAGGAATAGGGATTTCAGTTTAACTTGTTGAAATGATATCCAAAAATTCCTCTTCAGTTCCAGCGGAGTACTTCCAGCACTTGGATCACACAGGACAACGTATGGATCTTTACGAACGACCAGAATTAATGCTCGGAGCATTTGAGTACATTGCCACTAAGGATTACTGTAGAGTGAGTACAACGTTCCCTATCATACATTATCACCTATCACGTGAATAATGAAAATATTGAGAGTATGCTCATCGAAGACTGACATTTCCTTTCTTTTTATTAACAGAATAATACATTCCCGAAGCCTCCGGCAATTATATTCGTTATCGATGTATCATACAACACCGTCAAGTCGGGCTTGGTGAATTTACTCTGTTCGGAGATGAAGAGGATCATCAGCCATTTACCCGTAGATGCTGGGCAGACGAAGACCAACATGAAAGTCGGCTTCATAACTTACAGCAACACCGTGCACTTTTATAACATTAACCCTTGCCTAGCTCAACCACAGATGATGGTTGTCGGAGATGTCCAAGAAGTGTTCATGCCACTTCTGGATGGGTTCCTGTGCGATGCCGAAGAAAGTGACGCCGTAATAGACAATTTAATGGCTCAAATTCCAGTAATGTTTGCAGACTCTCGGGAAACGGAGACGATACTAGCGCCAGCTATCCAGGCTGGGCTGGAGGCATTGAAGGTAAAGCATTTAAATCCTGGCATTATTCACAAAATTAAAAGACACAGCATGCATCGAAGTCGACCCTACTTTAAGACTCCAAGATCTCGAAATTTTTGGTAACCTAGTGCCAAAAGCGCTTCTTCGATGAAACTTTTAAAAATGACTTTAACTTATAAAATTATCGTCTGTTGGTCTTTTATCGGATTTTGTATAATATTCGTGGATTATCGTAGCACGTTGCGTACCTCGATTACGAAATCAAAAGTGTCTAGGTATATTAATGTAGTATAGTTTCTACATCCCCCGCAAGTAGCGCTAATATCGTTACATCAGGGAAAATCAGAAATCCCTAGTTCCTAATTCTGGGGCCATTTTTTCAGGAACCGACCACAGAAATTATGTCTCTATACTACTTCGTGTTCAGGAATGGATTACATATCTACAGTTAAGAAATGTGAATAATGCTACTGTTGATTTACAGGCCTCGGAGTGTGCAGGGAAACTGATGGTTTTCCATTCGTCTTTACCGATAGCTGACGCTCCAGGAAAGCTGAAGAATCGCGACGACCGCAAACTACTAGGTACAGAAAAGGAGAAGACCGTCCTAGGTAAACCGATGCACATTAAAGTGATTTCAAACAGCCTGATTAGACATTTAACTATTTAATATTCTGCTTTCAGCCCCGCAAAATAACGTATACAATAACTTGGGACAAGACTGCGTAGGCTCCGGATGCAGTGTAGACTTGTTCATTTTCAACAACTCCTATGTGGATATTGCAACGATAGGGCAAGTTTGTCGACTCACTGGTGGAGAAGTGTACAAGTACACGTATTTCCAGGTACGTCCTTATCTAAGTTGAAGCCCAAGAGAACCCTTCTGTGTCTACAAATGTAGGCACATTAATCTATCTCGATGAATGAAAATCCTGATTCAACATTTAGGCGGACGTCGATGGGGATAGGTTGATCACTGACATTATTAATAACATTAGAAGGCCAATCGCCTTCGATGCATTCATGAGAGTACGAACATCAACTGGAGTTAGACCGACAGACTTCTTCGGGCACTTCTTTATGTCGAATACTACAAACATGGAGCTGGCTAGCATAGACTGCGACAAGGTATGAGCACATCTTCTATCCTGATCTTTTGACATCACTTGAATAAACTAAATGTAATATATAACTGAAATTATCATCCGTTCCAGGCAGTTGCAATTGAAATTAAACATGACGATAAGTTAACAGAAGACGAGGGTGTATACATCCAGGCAGCTCTTCTGTACACGTCATGTGGAGGTGTTAGAAGGTTACGAATCCTTAATCTCAGTTTGAGAACATCGTCACAGATGGCAGAGCTCTATCGAGCCTGCGACTTGGATGCTATCATCAATTTCTTCTCCAAGCAAAGTGAGTCGCAGAGTTCAGCGAAAGGCTGAAACGTGTTAAGATATTGAAATTTAATCGTAACCATTCCTTTGACATATTATTTTTTCTCAATTAAATTTTTAATCATCAATCTAGGTGTGTTCAAATTAACCGAATCAACGCCAAAGACAGTGAAGGACAGCCTGATCGCAAGATGTGCATCGATTCTAGCAGCGTATCGCAAACATTGTGCTTCACCGTCCAGTGTCGGGCAACTTATACTTCCAGAGTGCATGAAGTTGTTGCCCCTCTACGTCAATTGTTTGTTAAAGAGCGATGCACTATCCGGAGGTAATTATTCCTCTACGCAGGCCCTGGATGCTGTATCACCATCCCCCGTAACCCAATTTTCACTCTCCGTAGGAGCTGACATGACCATCGATGACAGATCCTACGTAATGCAAGCTGTTGCCACGATGCCAGTTTCAACATCGGTTGCCTACATCTATCCTAGACTACTGCCTCTACATGATATCGATCCACAAGACTCCGGTCTACCACAGATGTTACGCTGCTCCATCGATAAGTTCACAGATGATGGAGCATACTTGCTCGGTGAGGAATATCCTACATTTATAATTATTATTAACCGCCACTACGTTTATATTAAATACTCTCAGCCATATACTCATTACTAAATCCCCTCTCAGAAAACGGCATTCACATGTTCCTGTGGCTGGGATTAAATCTCTCCCCCCAGTGGGTGCAAGATGTCTTCGGCGTTTCCTCAGTAGTCCAGGTTGACACGGATCGAACGTCGCTCCCTCTGCTGGAGACTTCGCTTAATAAACGTATCAACGAAATAGTCGGCCAAGTGCGATCTCAACGGCACCGATGCATGAGAGTAAGTCTTCCATATGTACTTGCACATAGAGTGGCATGTACAGGCTGACTCATATCGCGTTAAACGTTTCAGCTAACACTGGTTAGGCAACGAGAGAAGCTGGAGATGGTGCTCCGTCACTTCCTTGTAGAAGACCGCGGAAACGATGGCAGCGCCAGTTACATTGACTTCCTTTGTTACATGCACAAAGAGATAAGATCGCTTCTTAGCTAATGAAAAGGACCCTGATGGAGAAACGTCGACTCGAGCTCTAGAATATCCTCGTAGTTGAAGACACCGTGTCCTCGAGAAAGAATAAGGAAGCCAGTCCTACAGGTCGTTTCAGATTATTCTAGGAGGCTGCTAAGGTGCCTAAACACGAGATTCCAACGCTTTAACGTCAACGTCAACTGGGCCGTGTATTAATTAAGACGTGTCATAACGGGAGAGACAGCAAAACGAGATAAATAATTAACTAAATGAATGCTATATAGTTATTACGATGGAGGACGGTGTGCGGAATCTAATGCAAAGTCGTTGTACCGTGAGTAATCGAAGGTAGCCCACACGTACAGTGACTTCGGAACGAATAATTGTAAACGTAAACTGTATTATTATTAACCCTTATTTTTAATTAGTCCACTGTCTCTATTATTATTGTGCTAAATTAAACGATGAGAATTTATTAAAACGCAAGTTTGTACTGTGAACCGCGGAGATGCCTTGTTTTAATGGGAACACTGATAACATGATATCAAGTACAATTGAGTACGATGTTCACTTTCTGGTGTACTAAGAACATACAGGGTTTGTTCGGTTGGCTGCACTTTTGCAATTAATGTTTACTCTGGGAAACAATTGTCGGCGTTTTTCATCCTTGAAAGGGTATTGAAATTAAATCATTGGAAATTGGAAAAACTATCTGATACTAGTTGCGTTTAGAATAGTAGACGAAGGTGTACCTTAAGTTTTGCAATTTTCATGAAAAGTACAATACGGTCAATTACACAATTACAGAGAGTACAGATAATCCGAACAAGCCTTATGTTTATAGTGGATATTATGCAACCGGAGTAAGAAATATTGCTACAACTGTTTACTTAGCATCCCATATTGTTTACCATTTGTTAATGCTTCATTTATGTAAAGAGTGTTCTTGAGGAGAAACGAGTCTCGTGTAAATGAATCGTTCATTTGGAAAACTGCCACTCGTTAATGCAAAGAGTTTAGTGGTACTTGGTGTTACTCGGGTAATGTGCAAAAATTCATTACAACTGGTTACTACTTGGGCAACTTATTTTCCACCATTACAACTATATGTATAGCTTTTATGTAGATTTTATTAATATTAGGAATAAAGTACGAGAGCCCAATTACTTTTTTTTCTGTGCGAACAATGGAGAAGCAATGGTATAAAAACATTCTCATCGAACAAGTGGAAAATATTAAGTTTACATGTGATCCTTCGATGCATCTTGGCAAGAGAGATCCATCGAATACACATCGATACTCGATAAGATACTCCAATGTTGTTCGATCAAATGATTAACAATATGTTTTACTTAGCTCAGTTTCTTGGCAATTAAACAAATGCCTTTTTTTAGAAATATTGAATTGCAGATTTAGAAATATTGACTGACAACTCAAGATTCCTCCTCAACTCTCCGATGACAAACATCCTTCAACTTACTTCAACATCTTTCAGCAACAAGTCCAGGAAGCTCTGCTTCGTTGAACTGCCCAGGATGAATTAAAGAAATGGCTTCTTCCAAGTGGTCCACCTAAGCCTGGAAAGGGGAAGAAGAGAACAGGCAAAGCAGAAGATTGGAGAAGCACCAGGAAGTCGGCAGATTCCTTCAAGTGGCCCACCTAAAGCTGAAAGGGAACACAAGGGCACAAACGAAACCATCGGGAAAGCCAGAAAGAGACGGGGATGAAATAGCTAATAACTTGCTAAAGTGACCAAAAGCCAAGACTATTTCGCAGGACATCGATCTCGTACAATTGATCCAGGAGAGATATATTCAATTGTACATTGCTTGGCGTGAGAAAAAAAAAATCTAGAATATTTATCCGACTTAAATAGAAACTCGAGATAATCTCGTTAAAACGACAGTTCACCGTCTCTTTCCGTCGATCCCGACAAAATGACAGAGAAAAAATGTGAGGGACAAAGTGGCGAAAAAAAATTGATGACTGTCCATTCGAAAGAATGGAAGGCCATCGTAGTTGCCCTCTTCTTAAGGGGCCGCTTCGGCATATAGCCTCTTCGACACTTGCTGTCTCTTCGGGCAGGGCCCCCTACGTCTCGAACGCTTGGCAATCCCCTTATCTTTCGGATTAAAAGAAAAAAAAATAAATAAAAAAAATCACTCCGCGAGCAGATCCAAGAGCTAGCAAAACGACGACCTGCGATCCGAGGATGCGCAGTCCGTTCATATTGCACATTTACCCGGATTCCCAAGCGCGTCTAATTGATTTAATTCCTGAAAGAAAATTGTCATAATCGCGGGCGTCCGGGGATACCCTGAGG